GAGCTCCGTCTTTCCAGGATTAATAGCGAGAGTTTGTGACCAAGTACCCTTGCATGAGATCATACAGAGTGTCCAGGAACTTTCCTCTGACGATGAGAGCCACATCACCCGCGTAGGCAATAACCTGGCATCCCCCTTTCCAACTCCTCCAGGACATCGTTTATTACGACTATCCAGAGAAAGGGGGAAAGGACGCCTCCCTGCGGGGAGTCTCTGCTCACTTTACGTTGGTCAGAGGCATTTCCCCATTCTGCTATGACAGTTCTGTCGTACTACATCCGAGAGATGAGCCTAACTAAGTGGCTCTCGACTCCAAGCTAAGTTAGCGCTCTTACTATTGCCCCAGGTAGCACATTATTAAAAGCCCCCTCGATATCAAGGAAGACTCCCAACTACAAAATCTTTGTTCCTAAGAGACTCCTCTATGACTTTAACCATTGAGTGCAAGGCAGATTCCACAGATCTACCTTTTAGATACGCATGCTGAGAGGAATCCTGTTTCTTATATACAGGTCAAGAAGCCTCCAGCCTGAAGTCCCTCGGAGACACATGAGAGCTTGTTCTTGCTTTGGGGGGCCCTCCTGGCCCCTGGGATATACACCCTTTCAAGGCAGCTCGCATAGATTGGGGTGAGCCAGCGACACGAGACCTCCACAGACTTTTGCAGCTGCGCAGGAATAATGCCATCCGGTCCGGGGGACTTGAAAGGCTTGAAAGAGTCCATCGCCCAAAGCAGTCGGCGTTTCTCCAGTAGTTCACCAGAGAATATGGGGTAGCCAAGCGTACCGACACCGGTACATGGTGTGGGGTTTGCTGGGAAATGAGTATCAAGGAGTAGTTAACGACGCCCCTCCGCTTAGGGCATAGTTTCCCTCTTCGTCCCTCAAGTATCCCAAAGGTATAGGACTCCTCGCGAGGATTCGAGACGATTCGTGACAACCTTCAGCTACTTCGCAGAAATTTCTCCACGACTCAATTTTGGCCTTTCTTATCTCGGACTTATATATATCCAGTCCGACTTTGTAGAGTTCCCAGTCGGAGTATTGTCCACTCTTCCTGGCTTTGTTGAAAAGGCGCCTGCTCGACGCCCTAAGTTCCGACAGTTCCATCGTCCACCATTTCGGTCGGACTTTGCCCGAGGGCCTGCTCAGCGGGCATGAGCTTTCAATGGCACTCCTACAGGCTGATGTAAATTTCTCCACCGAGTCCTCAATCGAGATTTCAGTGCTTAAGTTTACAGGAGGAGCCTCTGGGAGTAGTTCCCGCAGTTTTGGCTGTAGAGGTCTCAATTTGTTTTCCTACAATTTCTATAGGGGATAATTTTAGAACGGTCGTCGTCCAGATAAAACTGAACATATCTATGGTCCGAGAAGGAGGGATCATGAAGAACCCTCCAATCGGAAATACGGGATAATAAAGAAGACAAGGCAAGGGTAAGGTCAAGGACCTCTTGCTGTAGTGATAAGGGTCGGTTCGTTACCTCTATTACAACTACCTAAGTCCTCACTTAGAATATAATCAAAAAGTGACTCACCTCTCGTGTTGATGTCTGAGCTTCCCCAGCACGAGTGCCTCGACTTTGCATCCTATCCAATGATAATATCGGCTTTTCGTCGCCTCGCTTCGGCCATAATCTCACGCAGTAATAGTGTGGTTCCACCTCGTCCTCATGCGCCATGTATGCAGACACGAGCCAGAACTCTCTGGCGCCACCCTCCAAGCTAACCGTCACAATGTCCTCATTGCTGAAATTAGGTAAAATTAGTGCTTTGAATTCGTTTCTGATGAGTATGCAGGATCTTGGTCTACCTGCTTGTTTCTGCACTATCAGCTTAAATTCAGGCGCCTTATCTCGACTACGTCGGCTCCAACTTACTCAAGGTGGATGAGGAGATTTGTGGACGCCGGCTTAAAGTGTTGGAGATTTATCTGCAGGATCTTCATCCTCCAAAGCCTTTTGCAGCCAAGCCAGTTCGACGTCCTCGTTGACCGAAGCTAGAAGCCTCTCTTCCTCCGCCCTGTCATAGAACCGTCCGATGCTGATGACGGATCCCTCGGTTGAGAGAGCATCCCCAGCATTTTCGGCTTCTGACATGACGGATTCTATCTCCGCTCATGGGGGTTTCCTCCGCCTCGGGCTGGCCCATCGGAACCCCGGAGGTTGAAAGCCATCCCTCCTGGCATCGGATTGGTAGACCCTTTTGAAGCCATAAGTTATGACTCCCTCTGACTCAGCAAGGGGCCGAGGGATTCCACGTTAAGTACTATCAGCGCTTGCCGATGCGATTCCTCAGACCCCTCAAATCTAACAACTCTCCAGTTGTGCGTGGGCAGATGCGGGTTGCAGTACCGGAGGATTTCCTCTGGTGCTGAGGGCTCGGAGAAGAGCCAGACACGCGCACGCGGGCGGGAAGGAAGGTCCTTATCCTCCATGGCTTCTAGCTTGGCACCGTCCAAACCTCCCCCACTAGAGACACTGCAGCCTTGTACATTGACGCCGACCGTTCTTCGGCGCAAACAATCTTCTTGTGACTGCCGTGATGCCATCCAGTATCCTCGCATCGTGGAGGTGGGCCAGAGCTTCCTCTAACCACCCTTAAGAAGGCAGAGGACATGGCTGTTACCACGCGCCTCCAGTTATCCCTGGATATGGCGCCATCTTCCCTGCTATCAATGATCCCCAGGGCAGTTGCAGGTTTTTTGACAGATATCCCATTTAAAATTATGTCAAAAAGTTGCAATTAACTTCTGAGTTGACTTTTATTTCTTATATTTTGCCTTTGTATTTAGACATTTATAATTAAAAATTAATAAATTATACACTGGTGTTGGTTATTTTTCCGACACGATGGTAAGATGATTTATTTTGGAACGAATTTCCCCATCCCTTGTCAAGTTTGGTTTGGAAAGAACCCGTTTTCGGTGTTGTGCCATCTTCAGTGTAATTTTTCGTCCTGTCTGATTTGAGTTTTTGTCCTTAATTTATGTTCATTTAAATTAGGTAATATGAATTTCGTCGATGATTGAGTCTTAGATATGCCGTGGTGTACTTCTTCTAAAAGCGGGTAATGGCTTCATCTTTCACCATCTCGATATTAGCGTTCGTTATGTTTTTGCTGTATGGTATGTGTTTGGAAGGAGCGTCCATGTCTAATTTTTGTTGTTATTTGTCTTTTCGTAAATCTATTATAGGGGTTCGAATATAAAATCCGATGCGGTATTTCTTTCGTATTTTATTACCCCGCCAAAGGTTTTTATTTTGTATAATTCCATATTTTCTAGTAAATTTGGTCGTTGGTCTTTATGTTGTACATTTGTTGTTAAAGTATTGTTGTTTTTAAGTATTCTGAAATACTGCAACCCAATAGTCGCGCAAGGTTGCGTTTTTTGAAAATTTAAGAATGTGCCAAAATTTACAGCCTTTGAAATTTCTTCGCCAGTAGCATTGCAAGTTCGAAGATGTGAGAGTATTAGAAGAAAATTGTGAGTGTATCAAGTTGTTCGGAATTGCACTGCCACAGAGCAGAAACATTTTTATACCAAATTCTTGTTGTTGTTGTAACAGCATACAAACTCCCCAAAGACTTTTTGGGGAGTGTTGCTGGAGTGACAGTCCTTGGCCAGATATAGATCTGGGTCGTTCCGGTTACGTAGACCCGACTGTCTTTTTTAGATGTAGCGAAGATATTTTTGATTTTCAACACAGCCCCATCTAAATATACTGATTATTTAACTTGTATATTTTTAGCTGGATGATTTACTTGCCAAACGAAAAACTAATATTGATGCTGTTATTGAATTTGCTATAGATGACAGCTTACTTGTCCGTAGAATAACGGGCCGCTTAATTCACCCCGCAAGTGGCCGCTCTTATCATGAAGAATTTGCTCCACCGAAAAATCGAATGCGCGATGACGTGAGTTTCTCTTCTTAGAACGAAAAAATAATTTAAATATTTATTAATAGGAATTACTTTTATTATCTTCTAGGAAACTGGTGAACCTCTTGTTCGTCGGAGTGATGATAACGCAGCAGCTTTAAACAAACGACTAGAAGCGTACCACAAACAAACCAAACCTTTGGTTGACTACTATGCTGTAAGAGGGCTGCATTTTAAAATTGATGCAGCACAAACGGCGCACAATGTATTTTCACATATTGATAACATTTTCCTTAAACAACGTAAATCTCGAGACATATTATGAAACCGAAAAAATCACTTTGCAAAACTCTCGGAATTAAAATAACCGTTTTTATGACACATTTTATTATTATGCTTTGCATTTCACAATTAAACAAATCACGGCCCGAATCGCGGAATCGTAATCGAGTGATTACTCGTTTCGAATCGAATGAAATAAAATGACAGCTGTTTTCGGGCCAAGCACACTCGCCAAGGCGAATTAATATAAGGTGATAGCAGGAGTACAAAAACAA